GAAAATGCCCACAGCAATAATAAAGTATAAAAAAGGATTTCTAATAGTGTATTAATGGATATACCATGATATTAAATAAATATGAAACACTTTTTATAATTATTTTATTCCACATCTTCGATCACATTATCGTAGATATTAGATACAATGAAATAAAATCCGCAATATGGGACAGAATCGTGTCCAAAATCCACAGCAAGAAGTCGTCTAAAATATCAGATTCGGAAGTCTTAGGCAAGCAATACTCAACAGTCGCAGGGAAAGATTTCGAAAATCCAAATGCAGTCAAGTCACATAAAAAAACAAATCTCAGAAAAAACACAATACGCCGATTTAAATCTTTGCAATACGCATGTACATATGCAAAGGCAACGATATTGATAACAATAACAACAACAATTCGATGACAAGCATGACAGTGACAGTTATAGTTTTTTTGCGTTAGAATTGGCGCCATACTCTTTTTGTATTGTGGAGATTATTTATTATGGTTTCAGTATCATATTGAAAAATAACGTTTCCCGATATTTTTGATAAATAATTAAATTCAATTTAAGCTTAAAGCTATGCAAAACATAAGAACAACATATTTAAAGTTGATTTCATCACTAAATTCACTTAAAATAAATGGCTCAATAGCCATGAAGCCAAGCCACAGTAAAAAAATAGTCAATTTTGTTTCCCTTTTTTAAGTGTTTAATTCCAGACTTAGACAACCCTCCTTAATTGTTTAATTAGTCTTTTGTGATTATTTTATTAACATTTCTGATAATGACATCTATAGACGCTATAGATTTACTTCAACAAATATTTCGTCATTGTCCTTTTGTATGTATGTTCTTTAAGAGCCCTTTCACATTTTTGGCAAAATCGTTTGATTTTTTGAGCGCAAAATGAAACGAACGAAAAAATTTTTGAGCGCCTCGTTTACCCCCTTAGAAAAGATTTTGACTATTTCCCATAGAAGTAAACAGTAGATTTATTGTTCCTATTGTAAGTTAATGTAGAATATTTGCAAATACTATTTTCCTTCTTTTGTACTGATCGTTCTACCGCAGCTAGTTTACGGAAAAAACGATAATATGCAACAACTTCAAACGCCTGAATCTCTAAATAAGGTTCAATAAATTTGATCAAATTAATTACTACGACTTCAGAAATATGTTTTTGTTGTAACATATAAGAATTTTGATTTTCTAACTCATTAATTATCAAAAAAGACATCAAACCTCCGTGAGTTTTCCAAAAAATAATGCAGATTTACCTCGTATTTTGATATTCAATTAAATAAAATTACTATCAAAAACTTTCATATAACTAATCTACCATCATTGAACTACTGAAATATTTATATAATTTTATAATTAGTTCATTAATAATTATTTCATAGGACTCTAAACATCACCCGTAAAATGCAATATTACTAGTGCAAATCTACCTACGCGCCAATCAGTACGGCACCCGCGCAATTTTGTAAAAGAGCTCTTAATCCTTCATGCTAAACGCCTGAACGGATTTGGATGAGATTTGGCATGAATGTAGGTGATTACCTGATTAGAGACATGGGAAAATTTTTACCCCGGAAAAATGATAGATTCCGAAAAGAACCTAACTATAATGCGAACGTATTTGCGGGCGGAAGCTAGTAGGTAAGTAAATACATATTTTGATACTATATACTATAAATGTGCCCTTTTAATAGTAATAACAATTTCATTGTGCACATGACATTGCAGCAATTGTTTTACAATGGTTTGTTTCTTTATTTATGGAAAGCAAAAAATACAAATTCTCAATTTTCAATCTGTAGGTAATGACTAGCCAAGCTGTCACCAAAATTATAACAATGAGTAGTGGCAATTGAATAATATACTCCTTTACTGAAAAAAAGATTCAAGGTATCTAAAGAAATGTATATAATGTATAGGTATCATTATGTTGTTGTATATCAGTAAACTCGCTAGTTTCTAACATTTCGCCCAGCACCTCCCCGAGGCACTTCCAGATTAATTTAATTAATCGACTACGGCACAATAGCGAAGCTGAGACTGATTTCCTCCTCAGATATCCATTTACAAGCATTATTGTGGCAATTAATTTATAACATGGTTATGTTTAGGGGCATTGTTCTTAGTATTTTATTATAATGTTAATTTACCAATGCGAACAATGTTGATGAAATGTCGGAATTACTTATTTACAATAACAGATGAAAATTGTATTATTAAAATGAATATGATGATATAATATAAATACATATATACTTATTTCTTTTCCATTTCCCATGAGGATAATAATACTTGCTTCCTACAAGTTGCTTCCCTACCATTCAAAGAGGGTTAACATAGGAATATTTATTATTGATTATTAGAAAAGATTTAGTTTAGATATTCACCAACGACGCTGAATAGATTGCTTAAATTTCATACTTGAACGTTTTCTTGTTGTGCGGGGAGGGAGGGGTCGTGAAGAGGGTGGGTTGTTTCGGACTGAGTCGGCAGCGAAGCGTCCAGATAATTAGATTAAGGGGAACGTGGCCGAGCTCGGGTTGCGGCCGCTTCCGAACAATGGTATCAGTCTTTAAAGCTTTCGGATTTGCACGACTGCTGCTGCTGATTGTACTTAAGTTTGCTTTTAATTCCGACTCTACTTTAATTTATATATTTATTTCATAAGAGTTGAGTCTCATTGTGATTTCAAGGTCAGTTGAAAAGGAAAATTACATCTTCGAATTGTTTAAGCTTAATTTCTCGATTGATATTAAAGTCATACTTCTTACCTAGATCACAGTATTAATTTTAATTATATACTAGCTGACCCGATGAATTTTGTACCGCCATAAAATTAGGGTTTGGTGGTCGAAGGATTGAAATTTAGGGTAACATGAACTTTACAATGCCAAATCATAAAAAAAACAAATAAACAAAAAATTGGCTGAAAATAACATTTTGAGGTAGGTATACCACCCTTATCACTTGGGCGTATGAAAATAGTACATTTCCTATTTTCAGACCTACTGAATATACAAACAAAATTTCATAAGAACCGGTAAGCCGTTTCGGAGGAGTTTGGTTACATTTAATTTTTTTTATACACACGTCAAAAAAGTCTAAGCAACACGCATCAATTATAGAAACTGTGTTTCATTAATTTGATTGCAATTTTTTTCTAAGCAAAATAGTTTTATATACATTTTTTGCCCTCATAAACATAAATTGACTGATTTTAATAGAAGATACTTTTTGATTCTTTTGTTTTCATAAAAATATTAATTATAAAAATAGGTAGTAAAAATCGTTCAAAGTTAAAAACCGCACAATAGATTTAATAATAGCCATTATCAACATCAAATTAATTGCACTGACTTATAAAATTTGAAAAATAAAATCTGTACATAATATACTTCTTATATACTTAAGGCTACACTTAAAGTAAAATGAGCATTATGTAGAATAAGTGTCAAAATATGCCAGCGAGATTAGTAAACGGCAACTCCGATCTATTTAATTTTTATGGCGTAATGACGCGGCGCTGATTACCAATGATGTTGATTTTACTTTAATTGTACTCAAAATACAAAAGATAAGTATTTACTTAAATAATTTAATTTTTTTTTTCATTTCATTTATATTGTGTTATGCGAAAATAATTTATTTTATTTTATTATGTTTATTAAATGAATGTAGAGTAGCAAACACGTGACAGTCGTGTTTGCAGCGCTGCTACATTGCATTTTGCAGAGGCGGTGTAATGTATTTAATTAGGAGCAATTCCTGACCGCGCCAATCTAATAATTAAGGAACAGAGCGACAGCGCGTAATCAGTGCCCTTTGCCACCATGCGCCGAGAGCGCTTTTAGCTGAAATTCCGGCTTTTGACTACTATTTCACAACCTGTTGACTAGTTAGTTAAGCCCTAGATCGTGTACAGTGCGAGTGCCAAACGTTTCAACTTGCATTCGTGTATTTCATTCATTTGGATGATCGCTCATTCCTTTTACAAATGACACAATTGGAAGCGTAATTCTATTTGCACAAGATAATTAATAAACGAGGTTTGTGAAGTAATTTATGTTATTAAGAATAATAAATAAAGCTAATTAAGCAAAAATGTTATTTCATTTATAAACAAAGAAGTTCAATTGATATTTTTTGTTGTTGTCTGTGCGATGATTTCTGTATTAACAAGTTTTAAAATAAAACGCAACAGAAAATCCAATCCACCCAATTAGCCTAGTCCCAAAGTAAGCACTGTAAGGCTTGTGTTATGGGATACTAGGGTAACGGATAGAATACATATACTCATACATATATTAATATAGAAATACATATTAAACATCCATGACTGGAGTACAAATGCTCGTATTCATCACACAAACATCTGCGCCCACCGGGATTCGACCCGGGACCTCTTAAAAATTGGCGACACCTTGAAACCCGGCATTCATACCACTCGGCCTCGGAGGTCGTCGCCGGATGTTTAAAAAGTATTTTTATTTGATGACATAAAACGATAATTTTGTAAGATGCGGCTGCGAAGAGAAAAGGCTTTGCTTTTGATAGCCTTTATATAATCCAATTATCCAATAAAGAGACGGGTTATCTAAATATTAAGAAACAGGTGCGGGGTACAGAGACGTCTCACGAGATTAATCACTGGGATGGTGTCCGGCAATAAGTCGACAACGAACAACTTCACTACCATTACACGGACATTTATTTCCAACGCTCTGTTTCAACTTTGCAAACTCTCAAAGAGCCTTGCCGGGGACTGGTTTTAATTAATTTACAGCAATCGTATATCGTCTGAACGAGCGATATAAGCACGCAAACAGTGTTTCGGAGACGGCAAGTGCTTATTGAAATTTTGACTTTTGGAGGTTTAACCAAGATATGGTCACTTGGTACATAATCATCGCATTGTCTATGAACTTATGATACACACATACAATTAAATAAATAAAAATCCTTTGCACTTTTTATTTTTTTGTATGGACTCACCTTATCGTCGTCGCCTTCACTATCACACTGCAAAAGAAGAAAATTCAACTTTTACAAACAATTTATGTATTAAAAGAACAATGTTCATGCTTTAATTATGAAATTGAAAAATGTAAAATCATGCATTTTCAACTTTTTTTTCCAAACAGGTAGTATAGAATATACTTTTAACTTAAACCTGGAAAAAATTCAATATAAGTACATACTTAAGTATTAAGGATAATGCAAATAAACCAAATCTACACCTGCGGGGAAGCGTTATTTATCTAGACATTAATGTCTTCTAAATAATACTAAGCATTTTAAAAGCTACATAATCATAGTAGTGTTTTTTTATGTAATAAAACATCATCATTACTGTGGAGACACTCTGGGAAGACCGGAGAGTTACCGCTGTAAAGCTGACGCTTCATGCATCCACGTTATTTCTACTCAATTGTTAATGATGATTATGAATTTATTGAAATGATCAAGCCTGCTCCATTGATAACATGATTTGTTAAATTAAATGTATATAAAATCTCTCAGAATTTTTACCATGAATAAGAACTCTCATCTGTTTGAATCTTCTTTGTGAATACCCTAAACAATCTCATACAATGTCCAATTCATAAGGGAGAAAAAGACTATCATTGTATCATAAATCGACGAATACGTTACACGATATTTACGAGGTAAGTTCGCGTCGAGGGAAACAACAAGGGATCAGGCTGAGATATTACAATTTCAAATAAATACAGAACATGAAGTATTCAGGGCGAGCTCAGGTAATGTTATGTAGTACGGAGCGGCACCGCCTCGACAAATCTCGTGATTTAGCTGCGATACGCGCCGAATATCGAACAGGGTATATGTGTGTTGCGTGATCAGGGTAAATTTGCACACTGTAATCGAAAATTATAGCCATTACGTGTTACATAATGTTCCAGTTGGGAATGGGCGTAATGTAAATAAAACTAACAATCGAGCCATGCAGTGCAGTTGGGATCAACATTTAGAGCATAAGCACAGGGTTTGCTTGGTAAGACATGCCGAAGAAAGTTGGCACTTTAAACAAGGACAACAAAGAGTATACTCACGATATAGCCTTTTCCGGAACTACAGCGGCTACTGGCCTGTAGGCAGGAGAGAAAAAGCGAACACATGAGTGGAGTGACTTGGGGGTGAAGACTATCCCGTCTCACCCTTGTTTCAATGCGCTAGAGAAGTCCACGAATTTACGCACTCAAACATAATTAAATCTCTCTATAAATGCGAGTGATTTTTAGGAGAGACGGGAAACATCACAACGAAATTTACAGAAAATAAGTAGTTTTATGCGATGCGCCCTAACTTATTTTACTAGTAACAGTCATAACACACAACATCGACCTTGTTTCATACATGCATATTTAAGTGAAAACATGTACAATTAATTGACGGGTTTTGATCATACTATAAAGCGACTATTTTAGGTTAAACTTCTGAGGTGTTCATTCGAACTGGAATGTTTGCAATATAATTTAAGTATCGTCGTATTCAAACGGAAGTATGCTCGCACAGAGAATGAAGGATAGCGAAAGGAATACGAAGAAGTGTTTACTTACGTCACTAAGGCGATCGCGGGAGGAATCTGGATCACGAGGTGCGACCGAACTCCCTGTAAGCCGTTCCGACGCCCGTCCACTGTCATCCGACGTGCCAGCGTCTTGAAGCAGCGTAATACCCTATCAATGAAACACAACTGTAATTAATGTAAGTAATTAGATTTGACGATTGAAATTAAGTAAATGCATATGGGAACAGGTCTCGTAAATTGCTTCTTACTAAATGCTTTCGACCGTAATGGATTCTTGTATCGGTCGAGTGCCAGATTCTACGGGAAAGGTTAGTAAAAGCTTTATATAGGGTCCCGAAAATTGAGCGGTAACTTGGATATAAGAAAACTTGATAAGACGGGCTGAGAAAGCGAGGGCGCGAGTGGGGCACGAGGAGCCGACCCATAACGTAACGTGCCCGAGGCCCGACAATAAAAAGAGTTTTCCATTTATCACATTTCGCGTCTATTTCACGGTAGGGTTCGAAAGGCGAGCTGAAGAGGGGGAAGCAACGGTGATGCTCAGCGAGGAGCGCTCTCTAGACGGATAAAAGAAAATAAAACGAGTATAACTTCTCTGTAAATGGATAACTCCCCGACCGCCCTCGCTCAATGAACTTCCACGTTATTATTACTCGAGAAGTTCATATCCAATTTGGTTTGGTATTCATTTAATGGATAATAAAACAGTGTCGGAGATTTAAAACCAAACTCCAATGAATGAAGTCCAAACTTTATATGAATAGCATTATACTTTTGTATAGCATTAAATTTATATTATTTTTGTGATTTAATACTTAGGTATCACGCCATCCAAAGTCTAAAACGTAAGGAAAATACACATTTTTCTATGGTACAGAAGAAAGATACACAGATCTCTGCTATGGTACTTACATCAGCATAAACATTACTTCTAAATCTTAGCACTGTCATTTAGCATTGGCTAAAACTAAGTTGTCAATCTGAAGTAATAATGCAAAAAATCCCAGTTCTAATTACTGTCACATTATACCGTCTGATTAAAAAGAAATTAAAAAATGTTCACTGAAAATTTTAGAACAAGACTCCTGGCGCATTAATACACTGGAAAGCAATGAATCCGGGTCACATAAAGAATCCTAAAAATCACGCAAACTAAGAATGCTAGCTTAATGAAATAAATTGTGTTAAAAGAATTAAATACTCCTTTAATAAAAGTAATAAAATTTACGAGTCACCACATTTTATTTACAAAAAAATACATAAAGAAAAAACTGGCTGATCTCGCCTTAAAACAAAAATAGGAATCATGAAATTTTTTAAACACATTACGATTTTCTTGAATTTGAATACTTCGTATTGCCTCCTCGGTCCTTGTGCTTCCATTAGTGCGTTTACCCGGTTTGGCATGCTTTACACCAAGTTTCTTATACGATTTTGGGGAATATTCTCCCATTCCTCTGTGGGAGCAATTTTGAGCTCACGAAAGTAATTGGGGGAGGGTTTCGTTGTTTTACGCATCTCCCTAGCCCGTCCCAAGCATGCTCGATGGTAATAGCCACTCCATACGAGTAATGTTCATCTCTTGAAGATAGTCATTCACAATCCAACCTGTATGAGATCGGGCATTGTCATGCATGAAAATAGTATCCTCACCCAAATTGACCATAAATGGACCAACGAAAATTCCACATTCAAGATTTCTTCCACATATCTTTCGCTAGTTAAAGAGCTGTTTTCTAAGAACACCAGTTCTCTGCGACTCTCAGAAGAAATTCCGGCTCATACAAGTACAGACCCATCACCGCAGGCTACTATTTCTTCGATGCATGCTTGCTTGAATCTTTCTCCAGGTTTTCTATATACTCTGTATCTTTCAACGAGCTTGTGGAGCATAAAGGACAATGGCGAACTCCCATTCAAATTTTTGTTGAAATTTTTTTTTGCGTCTATACATGAATTGCATATTAAATGATAGAGTTTAGATTCTAGATTTGATTGGTCTTATTTCTTTTTTTATAGGAAGTCTGGATTTATAGATATTCTACTTTGAAGTTTTGGAGGTTATGTTTATACCAAGTAATATAGAAACGAATTATAAAAGTATTTTCAAGAGTATTTTTATAAAAAAATAAAAATAAACGTGGAACCGAACTATAGAAGTATCCCGTATATTAGTGACGAAAAAAAATTATTTTTATAATGTACGAGTTTGATCAGCGGGCGTAGGTAGCGTGACCGGTCGGTCACGGTGTCAAAATACTTAATTATACAGACAAGGGTTATTGAGTTGAATACTATGTCTGTGCTGTAAGAAGTACTTAACAATTTGAAAATGCCCACAGCAATAATAAAGCATAAAAAAGGATTTCTAATAGTGTACTAATGGGATATTAATTAAATATGAAACACTTTTTATACATTTTTTATTCCACATCTTTGATCACAATATCGTAGATAGTAGATACAATGAAATAAAATCCGCAGTATGGGACAGAATCGTGTCCAAAATCCACAGCAAAAAGTCGTCCAATATCAGATTCGGAAGTCTTAGGCAACCACTACTCAACAGTCGCAGGAAAAGATTTCGAAAGTCCAAATGCAGTCCAAGTCACATAAAAAACAAATTTAAGAAAAAACACAATTCGCCGATTTAAATCTTTGCAAAATGCATTTAAGCACACAATAATGATAACAATAACAACAACAATTCGATGACAAGCATGACAGTGACATTTATAGTTTTTTTGCGTTAGAATTGGCGCCATACTCTTTTTGTATTGTGGAGATTATTTATTATGGTTTCAGTATAATATTGAAAAATAATGTTTCACGATATTTTTGATACACTTAAATACAGTTTAAACGTAAAGCTATGCAAAACATACGAAGAACATATTTAAAGTTGATTTCATCACTAAAATCACTTAAAATAAATGGCTCAAAAGTCATGAAGCCAAGCCACAATAAAAAAATAAAAAAATAGTCAATTATGTTTCCCTTTTTTAAGTGTTTAATTCCAGACTTAGACAACCCTCCTCAATTGTTTAATAAATCTTTTGAGATTATTTTATTAACATTTCTGATAATGCCATTTATAGACGCTAAAGATTTACTTCAACAAATATTTCGCCATTGTCCTTTTGATTCGTCGGAGAACATAACTTTTGACCAATCATCAATAGTCCAATTTAAGTGGTTCTGGAGATATCTTATTCTACGATGCCCACACTCCAGCTGAGGGACGTTTGCAGGTCTAAGTGGTTTCAAGCTAGCTGCAGCTAGTCGTCAGTCAAAAGTCTCCCTTTATCAAATTAGGTTCTTTTATGATATAAGTTTACAATAACTAAGAAGTTTTAATGTCTTCATTTAAGGAGTATTTAATTGTCTATTAATTAGAATTTATTTCATTAAGCCAGCATTCTTAGTTTGCGAGATTTTTAGGATTATTTAAGTTACCCGGATTCATTGCTCTCGAGTGTAGTTCTATGATTTTTTTAGTTCCTAGTCTTTTTATGATGATTTTGTTAAGAATTTGAGGTAACGGATTTGAGTATTTGGACTTAAATAAAGCAACAGACACTGGCCACCGAACGTTAGTGTTCTTTTAATTTTATTTTTAATTTTTATACTTGTCATTTTTATTTATTATTTTTATACATTTTCATGTTATTTCTGTGCCTAATATATACATTTATTTTTAAGGCTAGGCAAATAAATTACTCTATGCCACCTGATGTGAAGTGGTGGTAAAGTCCAGACGCGAAGATAGCTGGTGCAGCAGTTATGGACTGCCACACCAACCATCCTCACCTTGCCGACCTGAGAAGCTTCTTCACGCCTCTTTTAAAGGACCCCAGATTGTAGGAAAAAGAATTCCACTTGCAAAGAAATAAGACTCCAAATTTCTTTGTTCGTGTAGGAAAAGTGGCTACTACTACTCGCCTAACTAGCTATTACTCGCCCAGTGCCGTCCCTTATAATATACATTCCACTTGAGTTTATGTAAAAATACAAAATTCAATGTGGGTAACTACATAAAATAAAATTAATATTAGACTGCACTTAATTTGTAAAAACTTCAAACATAACGTCATTAATTCATCTTCTACTGACATAAAAATTCCGATCAAGTCGCTCTATGAGTGTCCTCCACATTCTTTACTTCTTGGTAGAGGCAAAAGGCCATTATTCGCGGCCAGTTTAGATTTAAATACATGGCGCTAGGATCAGGAGCGGAATAAAGAGACGTTCGGAACTAAATCTCAAGAGAGGGGGGTCCGATGTTAAATTGCAGTATTCATAACATCTACTCGCTTTGTAAAACTGATATAAACAATCTTTTGTTATCATTTTGGGTAAAGAAGTCTTGAGGACATACTAAAAATTTAATACTGCCGTGACCACATACAGTATACAACAAATAACAATAAGACATACGCGCACGATTATGACTGCGATTCTAATAAAAGGGATCGCTTCCGACCCTTTACATAGATAAACGAGTGGATCGGAGTCGCACATATCAATTTAATCCGTTACGTAGGCAAGGAAGATCCCTCTAATCCTTTAGGGTTATGTCGCACGGAGCTCTGACGCCGGATGTTACCACATAATTACTTGCGCTTATTACAGTTCGTCCCAATTATAATGGTCTTTCGTGTGACTTTCTGGCCCAAATAGGGAAAGCTTGTTAATGAGCTTTAGTTTCACCATCTGTATAAATATAAGTTTCAATGACTTAAATAGCTCTAAGTAGCTTTAAATTATAATTATAAACAAATAAATTAAGTTTTTGAAGTCGATGGGTACAGGCTTCATTTTGAATTCTAACAAACTTTAACAGAAACCTACGGGCTGTATCCCATAAACGTAACAGATAGAAAATTTTACACATTGCTGCTATAGAAACAAACAAAAAAATAAAGGATACACGATACGATGATAGTATGATACGAAACCCTTCTTGTTCGCGTCCGACTTGCACTACAAAAGTTTGTTTTGTATAGTTCTTACTTTCAGAAGAATCTGGTTTACAGAGGGGTTTTAATATACATGTATTGCACATTAAATAATTTGGTTTAACCAATATTCACTGGTATGGTTGGCTAAATCGCGATTTTATGTAGATGACGCTCGTGTTGTGTGTTC